CAAAAGGATCAATAATGGAGGTGTTAAACTTTTATTGGTTTGTTTGGCTTGAAGCAGCCTCAGCTGTTCCATTTCTCCCACTTCTAGCCAGGAGCTGGAGGTGCTGTCACACTTTCTGTAATTTCTGATAAAATACAATAAACATCCAAGCCTGAACACGAGAATCACCTCAATCGTGTTTCTGTTCATTCTGGCTCTAAAAAAACCTAAATAAAATAATAACAAATCCCTAATGAGTGGTGCAAAGCCCAGCCCACAGCCCCACACTCATTCCTGCAGCTCCTGTCATTCCCAGCAGAATTGCATTGGGAATTCTGCCTGGCTGCTGCAAGGAAAAAGGGATCAGACCTGGCACTGCACAATTAAACACCCCTAACAAAGAGTTAATTAATGACGAGGAGTTAATTCCTGTTGGCACTTCACCTGGGAGGAAACCCGCACAGCAGAATCCCACGGAGAATTCCCGGAGAATTCCTGCTGTGCTGGGGATTTTTTCTCTTTGCTTTGCTCTACCCAAAGTCACTCTGATCCAGGAGGGAATGTCACAGCCCAGAGGATGGAAATCAACCCCTGCTATGCCACAGGAAAGTCAAAATGCTGGAAAATTTCGTATATTTAAAGGACTGGGGGTGTTCTGTGCCTGGCAATGTTCATTTTTAAAATGGAAATCAGAGGGGGAAAAAAAAAACCACCCCAAACCCCAGAATCCTCATTTAACACATTAAAATTTAATAATAATTTTCTATTACCCCCCCACCCCTTTCAGCTTTCACATTTTTGGCTCGGCTCTAAAACTAAATGTACATTTCAGACTTTTTTTAGGGCTCAGCTGCTGCTGGAACCGTTGCATTTCTCAGGGTTCCTGTTGCATAATTCGGTTTAAAATAGAATCCCAAAAAATATCTGCTATAAACCAGAGTTTGTAAGGAACAAAGAAAGGCCCCCTCAGATTCCAAAGGCACAAAAAAAAAAAAAAATTTGAATTTTCTCCAAAGCAAGACCCAAAGTGCATCTTTGAGCAGTTTGAACTCTCCCTGCCTGCAGAGGAGTTTAAAATGTGCAGGGATGGGAAAAGGGAGGAGGAAGCCAAGGATGGAGGAGCAAAGGGTGGGAACAGGAAAACAACGAGTTTGGGAACAAACATCTTCAATTTCTACTTCAAAAAATACTCCCTTTATTTACTGCTTTGCTAAGGAGGCAGAAGCTGATCCTGGCCAAAGAAATCCTGCAAAGGTGATTTTTTCTGTGGTAAAATAAAAAAAAAAAAGGACACCCAGCAGGATTTATGGGTGGATATGGAAATCTACAGCTGGGCTGGGAACAAAAACCCTTCCCAAATTTTTCTAAATCTTGTATTGAGTGACAGGGTCCATTGGCAGCTCCTTTCCTAAGGAAAATGGGAACATTTTGTATAATTTTTTAAAAAATAAATGTATTTTATCTATGTATAATGGGAATATTTTAAAAAGCATTACCTGGTTGTCAGAGAGCCACAAGGCTGCCAGTTCTTTGAGTTTGGTGAAAGTGAAGGGCAAATTCTTCAGTCTGTAAAGGAGAATATTGGGACAAGGTGAATCTTTCATTTCCAAAAGAATTTCTTGAAAGATTTGAAAGCAGGGTGTTTATCACACTGAAATAGCTAAAATTTCACTGCCTCTTAAAAATCAATTTTACTGAAATACAATATTTTATCAATTATCCTGTTGTTATTATTATTACTGTAATTATTGTTGTTTCTATTGTTCCTATTATTAATGCTATTATTATCATCATAATCGTTATTATTATTATTACTGTGATTAATATTCCACATTAAGAGTTCTATTTGGAAAGTAGAACTGCTGACATCACATCCTTTGGTACTGAGGAGAGGCTGATATTTTCCTTTGGTTATAGTGCAATAAAATTAATAAAAAATAAAATAAAGAAAAAAGAAAAATGTTTGGTCCCAGGGAGGTTTAGAGGAACCTCAGTGTCACTCACAGAGCTCCCTTTATTGGACACTGGAAGTTTGGAACAGAAATATTCCAAGATGATGGAAAATTCATTTTTGTTGGAATGCCAGACCAAAGATTAAAATAATATAAATATTCATAGTGAACCTAAATGACAAAATTAAATGGAGCAGGGGGAAAAAAAAATAAATCAGTATTTTAATGAGACATTTAAACACAATTTCCTAAAAGGGATCTGGGAGTGGGAATGGGAATGGATGGCAGGATATTTGTGGATCTTCATTGATGTTTTTCCCATAACTCCTTCTGAGCAGGGTGTTTTTATAGGATCATGGAATCCAGCATGGGTTGGGTTGGGAGAGACCTTAAATCCCATTATCCCATCATCCCATCCCATGGATCCCATCCCATCCCAGACAGCTGGTTTGGAAAAGGTTTGGAAAGATTCACTTCCCAAAGCACTCCAGAAAAGCAGAGGAGACCATTCCTCCAGGTTCCAGGACAGTTCAGGCAGGTTTGGGGGTTGGCTCTGGGATTTGGGACACCAGACCCCACTGAGGGGGAGCGGGAAGGGCACAGCTGTGATATCCCATCCCATGG